GATGCTGTGCTGTTTAGTCTGTTACTCCCCCTCAAGATGGACACTGGGATTGATCACAGCCATCTTGGACAATAAAAGAAAAGAGAAGAGATGCAGGTAAAGCCTTTGTGAAAACATCAGCTAACTGATGTTGTGATCGAACAGGTAGCAGTTTAAGGAAACCAGAAGTGACCTTGTCGCGAACAAAATGACAGTCAATTTCGATATGTTCGGTGCGCTCGTGAAAAATAGGATTAGATGCTATATGAANATTTTGGAAATACAACTATGTAGCAGGCTGCCATCAGCTGTTAGACTTGTTATAGTTGCCCAATTGTCCTCCTACATAATGCAATTTGTGCTTCCCAAGGTAAGAATTGTTCTGCAACAAATCATAAAACCAGAACTTCATATAATACTCTAAAAATATTTTAAGAAATCCACTCAAAGAAAGAGAGCCTGAGAGCAAGAAGTGCACACGAATGTTCAGTGCACTTTTCCATAGATTTTGTTCTCAATGAAAATATAGCAAAAGATTTCAAAAGAATTGACATATATTTCTCCACTATAAATATAATAGAGCGTGTAGTTAATGAAAAATAATTTAGTGAGAGGTGGGAAAGTTAATTGGAAATACAGAAGTTGAAACTTTTCTTTTTCAATTGCTCACACAAAGATTTATACAAACTTTTCGACGAAAATAAAACATTTGCATCATTATGGAGTCAAGTAGAAGAACAAGAATTAACCAGGAAAACTAATAAAACTCCAATCCTAACCTTGGATTGAATGAATGGAAAGAGAAAGATAGGGTTTGATGATGGCTGATCGAAAAAGTTAAGTACTGGCAGAGAAAAAATCATAGATTTAGGGTTTGATGGGGTTGAATTGCATTCGTTTTCTTTTGAGTTTTGAACGTATTTTACACGACCAATGACAGTTTAAGAAGTGAAAGGGTATTAATCAATTTACTAATTATTATGCCGCATTGTGCCTAATTTTCCCTTTATTTTTGGGCAACTTACAAAAATGCTTCTAAAATTGGATGACGGTCCACTCGTTCCAATCCCTGCTCTCCAATCACACTCATTTCTCTAACGGGATAAAGCAATCAAATCCTCATTTGTAAATTCATTGTCATTCTGGATGTCGGGAAATCTCGACGAAATTCTGTGTGTAACTGCGAGATCAAGATGAGAAACAATTGGCTTGAGAATAACCACATTATCCTCACGAGCTATCTCCTCAACTGGGATTGATGTCATTTTATATTATACATCAGCTGGCTTTATTCTGCTTTTAGCTCAAATTGTTTCTGCATAATTTTTTCAACGACATTGTTACCAATATATTTTGATCCCTCCATGTCAATCTACGCTTTGTGTTTGGAGGACTTGTGTAAAGACCTCTCATTGATTTGATTAAGAAATTTCTCTTACTCGTCTGTTTCTGTCTTAGATGCCTTATGTTAAAACGTCCTCATACTAAAAAATAATATTTCTTTTGTGGAAAAAAAATCTACTTTCTAAGGAAAATTCCAAATCCTTCAAAATTTTACCGCAAACAAATTTCATAGTTTTGAAAGCACTTCACCACCTTGATTTTTCTTTATTCTCCAGAGTTTGGTGAATAACGTACATGCGTGCACAAAGGATAATGATTTCATTAAGGATAGGTTCACTTTTCTAAAATTTTGTGAGGAGAAACATTTCCAATTTAATACGCTTTAGAATGCTAAACATTCAACAATGATGATCCTGTATCATCGATACAAAAAGATAATTTTAACTGGAAGTTGCAGCATCTGTAATATGTATGGTTCGTTGAAATAGACTTGTGAGAAATTTCATGTGTACTTTAAGTACTATGAGAAAGTTGTGAGGTCTGATATGAACAACCACATAAATAGAAGCCGACTGAGGAACAAAGGCTAACCAAGAACTGTGGAAGGAGGCCGAAGAGATGCCGTTGATATCTGTCATATCTCTAAAGAGGACTTTCTTTATATAGTTGCTTATGTGATCAACAAACAAAATTATTGTTTTTCGGGATTTTTTCATTTAAACATTTAAC